GCCAGACTGCAAAGCCATTTGAACTGCAAGGTTGATGGTTCAAACTCACCAGCCACTTCTCAGAAACCCTATATATGGTCGCTATGGGTCAGAATTGACTCAACAGCACTTAACAACAACAACAACAACAACAACAATATTGGCACACTATCAGGAAAATGGCATTTAACAACAACAACATCAGGAAAAATGTTCAATAATTATCAGTGCTCCTTACAGGGAGAAGCTCACTGAAGAGTTGAAGCCTAAACTTCAGATTAAACACAGAGGACTGCTATCCAAGGGCATGGTGATTTTGTATGGCAATGCACTTCTTTACCCCTCTGCCCACACTGTTGACACTGCAAAAACTTCATTTTGAGGTGTTAAAACATCTTCCCTATAGTCCTATTTTTGCTCCATTGGACTTTCACTGGTTTGGTCCCCTGAAAGCAGCCATTAGAGGGCAAAGATTCACCTCTGATGAAGAAGTGAAGACAGTGGTGCATTTGTGGCTCACAGCTCAATGTAAAACAGTTATTAATAAGAGAATATGAAAGCTTGTTGACAGATGGACAAAGTGTATTGAAAAGCAAGGAGCTTATGTCAAAAAATGGTGTATTTGTCTTTTCTAAAAGTTGAGTACAATAAATTCTATAGTCTGAGTACAGATAAGTTTTGACTCGTCCTTCTATATATATGAGGGTAAGTAAAAAAAGTATTGTTACAAAACCACAGAAAGCTTTATCAAACAAAAATACCAAAATATGAAGCTATAATTTCTCAACCTATCCTCCACTTAGGTCTATACACTTCTGAGGGCAGTGTTTCCTTATCTCTAACCCTGGTGTGGCACTGTAGGATAAGCACTGAACCATAAGGTCAGTTTGAACTACAAGGTAGGTGGTTCAAACTCACCAGCAGCTCCTTGGAACCTTACACAGTGTCACTGTGAGTTGGAACTGACTCAATGACACTTGGCAACAACAACCCATCACTGAAGAATTCTGGACTCTGATTTATGCTATATCAAAATGCAGCTGTGGCATTTTCTAGGGACTCAAATTTTGTTCCCTTTCAATGTTCTTTGAGTTTTGAGAACAAAAATAATTCAGAAGGGTCAAGATCAGGACTATAGAGTGGATGTAATAAATTCTTAAGGGACAGTTCTTGCTATTTGCAAAGAAGGAGCAGGTCCATTGTTGAGATGGGAAAAATATTCTTTGGTGCAATTTTCTGGCCTTTTTTCTCACTAATGCTGTTTTCAATTTTCTTAAAACTTCTTCATAATAAGCTCCCTTGATTATCCTGTCCTTCAAGAAAATCTGTCAAGAAGTCACTGTGACCTTCTGAGCTGATCTCTCTGCCTTAAATTTAACTGGTCCAACAGATTCCCTTGGAAACCACTGTTTTGATTGAACCTTTGTTTTTAAAGGAACCTGAATGAGACCAAGACATATGTCTTATTGAAAGAACTTTTCTGCAGCCATCCACTGAGTACAGAGACATGTTTGAACATGTTTTGTGTAGAATAAACTTGTGCATGAATGATCTAGAACGCTGGTAATTGTATTTTTTATATACTCTGTGTATATGGATAATATACACTGCCCGGCGTTGCACCATCTTCATAATCATTGCTATGCTTGAGCTGAGCTGTTTTTTCAGTCACTCTCTCAGTACATCACATTGAAGGCTTTTCTCTTTTTTGCTGACCCTTTACTGTTGTAAGCATGGTGTTCTTCTCCAGGAACTGGTCCCTCCTGATAACATTCCAAAGGATATGAGATGAAGTTTTGCTTCTAAGGAGAATTTTGGCTGTACTTATTTGTTATTGTTGTGAAGTGCCATTGAGTTGGTTCCAACCCATAGCGACATAGAATAGGGTTTCCAAGGAGCAGCTGGTGAGCTGTCAACATTGCAGTTCAGACAGCTTTGTAGTGTGGCGCATTAACCCACAGCACCACACCAAAACTCCTCCTTTAAGACAGATTTATTTGTTCTTCTAACAGTCCATGGTAGATTCAACATTCTTTGCCAACACCATCATTCAAATGCATACTTTTTTTTTTTTTTTTTAGTTTTCCTTGCTCACTGTCCAGCTTTCACATCATAAGAAGTTTTTGAAAATCCCATGACTTGGGTCAGCCTGGCTTAGTTCTCAAAGGGACATTTAACACTTTAAAGGATTCTTTTACAGATTTGCCCAATGCAATACATTGTTTGATTTCTTGTCTGCTGCTTCCATGGGCTTTTATTGTAGTTCCAGGTAAAATGAAGCCTCTGATTACTTCAATTTTTTTCTCTGTTTATCACGATTTTGCTTATTAGTCCAATTGTGTGGATTTTTGCTTATTTATATTGAGGTGTAATCCATACTGAAGACTAGTCTTTGATCTTCATCAGCAAGTGCTTCAAATCCTCTTGGCTTTCAGTAAGCAAGTTTGTATTACCTGCATCCCCCATCTTCTTCCATTCCTGATGCTACTTTCTTCATATTGTCCAGCTTCTTGTATTATTTACTCAACATATAGATTGAATAAGTCTGATGAAAGAATATAAGCCTGATGCAGACGTTTTCTGATTTTAAATTCACAGTATTTCCTTGTTTTGTTTGAACAATTGCCTCTTGTACTATGCAGCTATGTATCAATGAAGATTTTACAGTTTCTGGAAGCTTGTGGTTGAACTGAATATTCAAGCTTCATCCTTCAGTGAATGTAGTTAATGACATGTAGAAAGAGAAGTGTGGAAGCTAACTGTGACATCAATACCTATTAGTGTAACTCTCTTTAAAGGAGAAACATTTGTCTTCCTATCCAGGGGAGGCTAGCTAGTGTTCAGGGAGGATGGTTTTTTGATCAGTTTTAGCTAGTATTATGTTATACTGAAAATGAAGAGAACTCATTTCTGTGTGGATACAAGCACAGTCAGATTAACTTTATTTTAAGCTTCTATTACATTTTAGTTAATAAGGATACATGAAGATAAGCCATTTTAGTAATCTAGCAAAATGCATTTCATTTTCAAATTGGGTATTGGAAACACTGGAAAATGCCAAGGAATTAGTACGATAATAGAGTTAAGTATGATGCACCTATAGTGAGAGCCAACTGATTCTCATGGATTCTTCGTGCCAAAGTCTCCAGAACAGCCTCAGAGAACATCTCAACAGCTTAAAACTGGTTATATTCTACCCAGCATTCTACTCTGGTTTTCCTCCAGCTTCCTTCCTACTGTCCATTTTTTCTTTTGCAAAGAATAGTAATCTAGTGAACTAAATCACACCCTAGACATATCAGTGGGAAATGTTGACCATAAATCAGCCTTGCAAATAAATACCAAGCAGCCTTGTCTCCTGGAGTCTTGGCCCATAATACAAGTGTTGTCAGCATCCTCTGCATTGGGTCTGAACCCAATGGCTGTTTGCAATGCTGAACCCATGTTACTGTTCAGCCACTGAGTGCTAAGCTGAGGTCTCAACACGGGGCACGTGAAGGGCAAGAGAGAATTAGTGGCAGCCACAGTAACATAAGCACTGGGCTGCTAACCAGAAAATTGGAGGCTCAAACCCATCAGCTACTCCTTGGAAATCCTTTACAGGATGGCTATGAGTTGGAACCAACTCAATGGCCTTTAGCAATAACAGCAACAGGCCTCCCAACATATCTGCTCACTAAATCTTCCAGATCCTCCAATGTGTTGAGCTTATTCTCTCTACCAAAGAATGCAGACCTGCATTGTTGTTCAAAGGAGATTATTCTAGAGAAACAGATGATGTACAATCATAAACTAAGACTAGTCCCTCCTTTCTCCTATTTCAAACCAGCCTCATCAGTAGGACTGTACCCCAGAAAGAATTAATGTTAAGGATATTGGTTCCTGCTGATCAGGCCACATGTGACAGCTCCTATACAATGAACTATAAAACTACATTATTTAATAGATTTGTGAACTGCACCCAGAATTGTATGGCAGGTGTGGGTGCCATTTGAAGGGAAGCATCACTTAGTAGTTTCTATTAGTGCAAGATGACCCATCATTGTTCCTCAAAGCATGGTGGACATAGAGATGTAGTGAAGAATGGATGGAGGGGTGGGTATTTTCTCCAGGCACAAGTCCAAGGGGGCACCTCATGAGGCACCACAAGTATGGAAGACACCTGAGGCAGCTGGGCAAGAGTGTGGAAGATGTTTCTGCAGACACATCTTTTCTGTGAACAGTTTTGTCTCAAAAATGGGCAAGGGCACAGCTTAGGGATTCCCTTCGGGGGTTCAAATTTTGGGGGTGCGCAACATAGAAAATTGCCCTGGATGCTTGGTACTTTGGCTGAGCTCCTGATTATACCCACTTTCTGATCTCTTCACAGGTGATTAAGTTTCCCACAAATGCAATTTGTTAACATGAGGCCACATCTTTTCACAAGGTAAATCTATGAAATTTGGCAGGCAGTCACTTTGCTGCAGGTGGAAGATAAAAGACCTCTCCCTGGCCTGGCCACAAAGAAAAATGATGCTGTACTCAATTTCTGAGAAAACAATTCTGTCACAGAGGGTAGAACCTAAATTCTAGATAAGGGAATAGAGTTTAACGGCCCAAATCATGTGCTTCCCGCTCTTTGGGAATATGTTACTCCTAAAAGGCTGAGTAAGAAACCAGAAGCTTTTTTTAAATGAGACCAGGTATTAAGCAAGTCCCCATGCTAAAGGAAGTCCTCTGACATTTGAAGTTGCAGCCATTTGCAATGATAAATGATGACTTTTACTCTTATGAGCTATGAGGGCTTAATTAGAGCTTAATTAAAGCTAATGCTCAGAATCCTTTGGAAGCTAGCAATTAAAAACTGACTTCTGTGCTGAATAGCCTAGGCTTGGGAAAGTGTGTCTTGGCACACAGGGCACATCTACTATGGTGGCTTATCCACTGCTGTCTGGGCCTTTGCATCTAAGTTAAAGCAAGAGCTATTAGTGCATTAGATGTCCTTGGCTAAGATGACAAGAGGTCAACTGCCTCCTGTGCAATTATACAGAAGGTCGTCTCTGAATCTCCACATCCAGCTCTCCATACACGTGTCTCAGGGTGTCACTGGTCATGCTTGCCATCAGCTTCCTAGGGCCAGAGACCCACGGCCGGCACACTTCTTCCCACTGCACAGTGGTGTTGGGCTGGATTTCACTGGAAGGTGGAAAAGAAAGGATAGGTGTTACTCGCAGAGGGCAGGTCCAATTTCCCACCTTGGCCAGGCAGCAGTGAGAACTCTGTGAGACACTGCTGTCTGCTTCTCAGTGCATGGTGGTGAGAGGGCAGAAGGGCATGGTTGGCTGGTTCTGAAGATTCCAACATCAACAAGGCCTCTTCCTGGTGCATTCCCAAATCCCTCAGCAGCAGTCCTATTAGCTGTGGTTCCTTCCATGGACCACCCAATGGACATGCCCATTGAGGGTGGGGTGCTGGGGTGAGTCCCATGTGACCATGAGCTAGCTGAACTGCAGCGTGTCTGCAAGCCCACCCCGTCAGCCTCACCTATATGACGTATCTTCTGCCTTGCTCACAGTTAGCACTTTCCTTGCCTCCTGGGAAAGAGTCCAAATCCCTGAACGCCCCCAGCTGTCTCGACCCTGATGACACTAAACTCTTGCCAATCCCCTTGGGAGAGATCTTGTTCCCAGCTCCAGTACCTAGAGCATCCCACTCCCTGTTGACATCTAGCTTTGACGATCTTTATGCGTTCCTTTGTAATCCTTGTTTCCCTCCACCCATGCATCTTTATGTTACTCAATTGTCATTGATTCAGGTTCTAACATATCCTTTTCTGGTCCCAGTGTTGTCCTCTTCCTCCCCAGCCCATGCTCTAAGGTCCTCATAAGTTTCATGACCAACCCGGTCTTGGGGATGACTAAGATCATCAAGCTCAGGGGACCGAGGCTTCTCTGGGGTGCTTCCCATGTAGCATCCCTTGTAAGCCTCAGGAGGAAGACAGCATAAACCATTTTTATATGTGCGATCTCTCCATGAGGTAGACAGTATTCCATATGATTTACAGTTAAGAAAATTAGTGAATTAAACAAATAAAGTAATGTTTCCAAGATGATACAGCTAGTCAATTGGCAGAGGTGAGATTTGTCTATTTCCAAACTGATATTCTTTTTACGACTCAACATTGTACTTTACTTTTTCTGACTGCTCTGCTTGCTTTTTCACACATTTTTGTTTCTCAAACACGAAGTCACTTTTCTTCAGCACTATGAATTTTCTGTAAGGTAATGTTCTTTGAGAATACTGGGGGTCTGCTCTCTGGGCCACAGGGAGAGCACATGCTGGCTAGTCTCCCATGGACTTCTGGGTCTGACTTTTCCTATGGAATTATTGACACAGCTTCAGACTTGGAAAGAACTTTAGAAGTCACTTAGCCAACTGCCCCATATAACAGATGAGTAAATGGAGATTCTAAAGAGTCTAAGGAATTATTCAAGGTCGTTCAGTACAATGACCCAGATAGTGGGACAGCTAGAATTAGTGTCAGCTGCATGTTCTTTCTACATTATGCTAGTACAATTCAGATTAGTCTCTTTTGAATTTCATGAAAACCTGAAGGGAAGGAATCCAAAGGAGGAATTTTAAAAAGATTTGCCCTGTAACAAAATAATTGACTGCTTCCTCACAGCATAATCTGCCCCACATGCTTGGTACAATGTGGCATTTGTTACAAATACCAGTAGTTCAGATGTAAACCCAGATTATTCTCAATTACTTAACCACTGCTGAAATTGTTGCCTCATAATATTGCATTCCCATGGATCTGGGACATAGAAAAAAAATTGACTCCAACTCATGGGGACCTCACATTTATCAGAGTAGACTTGTGTTCTCCAAGGTTTTCAATGATTGATGTTTCAAAGTAGATCACCCAGTCTTTCTTTCAAGGTGCCTCTGGGTGTACTCAAACCTCTGACTTTGTAGTTAGCAGCTGAGTGCACTGACCGTTTACAACTCCAAAGGATTTAGGAGTTATGAAAATGGAAATTTTGATATGTCTGCAATGAAGAATACCAAGTGAAAATTTACCTTAATTTTACTATGTGATAAATTTGGTATTGAAATCAACACTATGATATGTAGAATTTATTTTAATGGTCATATATGGAGTGAATGTTTTCATTTTAATTATTAAATGAAATAGTGGCACTGCTATCTAAATAGTATGTTATTATTGTGTGTCTGTAATGAAATGTTGTATAGTATTTAAAAACATGGGCTCAAAACCTGACACTCTTAGTTCCCAGCTATGTGATCTTAGGCCATTTATTATACTCTAAACTTGCATTTTTTCATCTGTTTTTAGTTGCCCTATGACTCATGTCGACCCCATGTGCTGCAGAGTAGAACTTCTCCCCAGGGTTTTCAAGGTGTTGATCTTTCAGAAGCAGAACACTAACTAGGTCTTTCTATTGTGATATCTCTAAGTGGGTTTGAACAGCCAACCTTTCAGCTAGGAGTTGAACACTCAACTGTTTGTGCCATGTAGGGACTCCTTTTTTCAACCATAAAATGAGGATAATGTAGTGTTTATCTCCTGTGACTGTTGTAAGAATGTAATAAAATAATCCAAGCAAAGAGTCTCATATAACATTGGCATGTAGCAAACATTCAGTAAATAGTAATTGGCTATTGCTATCTCCCAACTCATCTCTCAGTCTATCATACTGTGGTGGCTTGCATGCTGTTGTGAAGCTGGAAGTGATATTTCAAGTACCAGCAGAGTCACACATAGAGGACAGGTTTCAGTGGAACTTCTAGACTAAGAACAGATTGGAAAAAGGACTAGGTGGTTCACTTCTGAGAGATTAGCCTCTAAAAACCTTATGCATAGCAGTGGAACATTGTCTGATATAGTGCTGGAAGATGAGCCCATCAGGCTGGAAGGCACTCAAAATACAACTGTGATAGAGCTGCTTCCTGAAATAAAGTTGACCTTAATGATGTGAATGGAACAAAGCTTCTGGGACCTTCATTTGCTGATGTGGCATGACTCAGAATGAGAAGAAACAACTGCAAATATTTATTAATAATTGGAATGTGGAATGTATGAAGTATGACTCTAGGAAAATTGAAAGTCATTAAACATGAAACAGAATGCATAAAGATTGATATCCTAGGCAATACTGAGCTGAAATGTACAGGTATTAGCCATTTTGAATCAGACAACCATATGGATTACTGTGTCAGGATTGACAAGTTCAAGAGGAATGGTGTTGTATAATGGTCAAAAGAACATTTCAAGATCTGTCTTGAAGTACAATGTTATCTGTGATAGAATAATGTATATACAAGGAAGATCAATTAATACGACTATGATTCAAATGTACACACCAGTTACCAAAAGTCAATGATGAAGAAATTGAACAATTTTACCAATTTCTTCAGTCTGAAATCAATCAAACATGCAATCAAGATGCTTTGATAATTACTGGTGGTTAGAATGCAGAAGTCTGAAATAAAGAAGAAGGATCAGTAGTTGGAATATGGCCTTAATGATAGAAATTATGTTGGAGATTGTATGATAGAATTTTGTAAGAACAACTTCTTTATTATAAATAATGTTATCAACAACATAAACAGCAAATATATATGTGGACCTCTCTAGTTGGAATGCACAGGAATCAAATTGACAACATCTGTGGAGACAATGAAGCTCAATGTTATCAGCCAAAACAATACCAGGACCCAACTATAGAATAGACCATCAATTGTTGTTCAGATGCAAGTTCAGGTTGAAGCTGAAGAAAGTTTAAATAAAGCTCAGAGACCCAAAATTAAGCATATCTCACCTGAAGTTAGATAGAGACTATTCAAGAAGAGATTTAATGCATTACATACTAATGTCCAAAGATCAGAAGAGTTGTGGGATGACATCAAGAACAATACTCACAAAGAAAGCTTTGTTGCTGTCGTTACGTGCCATCTAGTTGGTTCCAACCTATAGCGACCCGATATAGAGTTTCCGAGAAGCAGCTGATGAGCTTGAACCGCCGACCTTGCAGTTCAATGGTTTTACGGTCTGGCGCATTAACCTACAGTGCCCCACCAGGACTCGTGAAGAAAGCTAAAGGTCATTAAAAAGACAAGAAAGAAAGAAAAGACCAAAGTGTATGTCTGAAGAGACTCTGAAACTTTTTCTTGAAAATAGAGTAGCATAAGTAAATGGAACAAATGATGAAATAAAAGAGCTGAGCAGAAAATTTCAAAGGGCAGCTTGAGAAGACAAAGTATTAGAATGAAATGAGCAAAGATCTGAAGTTCGAAAAACCAAAAGACAGAACGTGCTAAGCATTTCTTTAGCTCAAAGAACTGAAGAAAAATTTCAAACCTCAACTTGCCATATTGAAGGACTCTGGGCAAAAGTTTTTGATAATTTAGGAAGCATTAAAATAAAATGAAAGGAATACACAAAGTCACTGTATCAAAAAAGAATTGATCAATGTTCGACCATTTCAAGAGATAGCATGAAGAACCGTAGCATGAAGAACAATCAGGAGGTAAATCAAGAACTGATGGTACTGAATGAAGAAGTCCAGGTTGCACTGAAGGCATTAGTGAAAAACAGTGCTTGGAATTGTCCGAATACCAATTGAAAGATTTCAACAAACTAACGCAGTGCAGAAAGCACACACTGGTCTATATCAAGAAATTTGGAAGACAGCTACCGGTCCAATATACTGGAATAGAACCATATTTTTGCTTGTTACAAAAAAAGGTAACCATACAGAATACAGAAATTACTGAAAAATATCATTAATATTAGATGCAAGTAAAATTTTGCTGAAGATAATTAAAAAACAGTTGGAGCAGTATATCAACAGGAAACTTCCAGAAACTGAAGTTGGAATCAGAAGAGGACATGGAATGAGGGATATTATTGATGAGGTCAGATGATCTTGGCTGAAAGAAGAGAATAGCAGAAAGATATTTGCATGTGTTTTCTTGACAATGCAGACATTTAACTGTGTAGATTATAATAAACTATGGATAATATTGCGAAGAATGGGAAATCCAGAACACTTAATTGTTCTAAGGCAGAATCTGTATATAGACCAAGATTCTGTTGTTTGAAAAGAACAAGGGCATATTGTGCAGTTTAAAATCAGGAAAGGTGTGAGTCAGGGTTTTATGCTTTC